GAATTTAGAAAGACAAATTCTAGGAAGATGTAAACAAGGGTCAATTTTGGAGCTCCGCATTTTTCTCCGAAGTGACTAATGTTTAGGACCACCAGTTTGTTTTAGAAGGTGACGGATATATAGGACTGGAGGGAGTGCATCTTTGTCTATCTTACTCAAGCCATAATATAATGGAACCATTAAACACTAGGATTGCAATTTTGTTTCCCTTTTTTCTTAATGGAATGGTAGCCTGATTTTAAATTACTTCTCTATTTTCTTGATGTATAATGCATGAAGAGTAAGGCTTGAATGTTAGCATGAGGTTTAGTCCTCATTTTTCTCAACAATGCAATGGATAATGTTGCTAAAGTAATGTGAATAACCATAATCATGCGAAACTCGCTCATAAATTTTCATTCTATTGTCGAGTTTCATGTCTTGGTTTTTTTTTTTTTGAAACCATTTTGTGCTCATAGTTCTTTCAGTTCTCCAATTTTTGCTTTGTATACTTGAATGTGAAAACTGTTTTACGCTTTTACTACCACCATGCTGCTTGGTTTTTCGGAGAAATTTTCTCTCATTAGCTCTCTATCTGTAGAACTTAATGTTTTTCTTTCAAAACTCCTGCAGTACTATGATCTCTTAAATATTTTTGAGCTTAATGGGCTTCCCTCAGAAGAGAATCCATACCTTTTTAATGGTGACTTTGTGGATAGAGGATCTTTTTCACTGGAAGTCATCCTCACTTTGTTTGCATTCAAGTGCATGTCTCCCTCAGGTGAATCCTTGCTACACCTTCGTCACTATGTTTGTTTTGTTATTTTTTTGGATACTTTGTGCAGCTGGGCTTCATTAATGGCAGCATCTAGATGTGTGCTGTTTAAGTTGATTTTTTTGGGATATGTTTAATTATCTATTGCTGTTTGTATGATTGGATTCTCATAAATTTGTATGTGCTGGGTATCATATCTTATTTTCTTTTCATTTGACTTCCAGCCATATATCTAGCAAGAGGGAATCATGAGAGCAAGAGCATGAACAAGATATATGGTTTTGAGGGCGAGGTTCGCTCGAAGCTAAGCGACACATTTGTGGAACTATTTGCAGAAGTCTTCTGCTGTTTACCGTTGGCTCATGTGATCAATGATAAGGTATTTGTGGTTCATGGAGGTCTTTTTAGTGTTGATGGGGTGAAACTCTCTGACATCAGAGCAATAAACCGATTTTGCGAGCCTCCGGAAGAAGGTTAGATGCACCCTTTTGTTATTTTTGGTTTAGTTGTTCTTGACGTCACGTACCTTAAGCCTTGAACAAAAATATTCCTGTGCTTCATAGTTGCCTCCCCTTTTGTTTTCTCTGTTTTAATGGGAGTCTTATGAATCTGGGTTTCATATGAATAGGATTAATGTGTGAATTGCTATGGAGTGATCCACAACCTCTTCCTGGACGGGGCCCAAGCAAGCGTGGTGTCGGTCTTTCTTTTGGTCCAGATGTGACAAAAAGCTTTTTGCAGGAAAATAATTTAGGTATCTTTGCTACCAGTTTGATAATGCTCCTGCTCTTTAATCCGTGAATTAATGTATATTCTCTATCAATTTTCAGAGTTAGTTGTCAGATCTCATGAAGTAAAGGATGAGGGTTATGAGATTGAACATGATGGTAAACTCATAACTGTATTCTCTGCTCCAAATTACTGTGACCAGGTAATTAAATCCTCCATTTTCTGTAGCAATCTAATGCTTTCTAGTAGTTAAGTGATATAAAATTATAAATACTGCTTATTTGTTTTTTCTCGCTTGATGCTCTGTATATGAAGGCTTTTTTTTTTTTTGGGGCCTGGGGGCCGGTAGGGAAGGTTGGCTTGATTTTGTTTTCAATGGGATGGGCAATATAATGAACATATGGCATGCTTAACATGTGGAGATTTCCGTTTATATCTAATAGAATCAATTGCCCTCACTGAAGCATAGTTGGGTGTTTGTTGTTACCATCAGTAAAATGTTGATATTTCCATTCCATGCAGATGGGTAACAAAGGTGCATTTATTCGATTTGAAGCACCTGATTTGAAGCCAAACATTGTTACGTACTCAGCAGTGGTTAGTATCTTTTGTGCTTTCCATTTGTGCTGTTACTTTATGATTTTCCAGTTTGAAGCCACTTCTTTTGATGTGCTTCTGATTCCCAAACAACTTTCTTCAGTTCTCATGATCTTTATGTTTGTGGAATTTGCAGCCACACCCGGATGTGAAGCCAATGGCTTATGCAAACAACTTTCTTCGGATGTTCTCATAGTCTTGCATGGCTTTCTGGGGTTCATTCTGGTTAGTGACATCTCTGCAATCCAACAACTGCAAGATTCGGAACTCGGCCATAGAATAACCAGTACAAGTTGACAACTTTGTGATAATATATATACTTTTTTTTTTCTTTTGGGCTTAACGTTATTCAAATTCATTTTTTCCCCACAAGTTTCCCTCTGTATTTTGTCATTTTGGTTATTTGTGTGAACCATGTGCAGGGAAGTACGGAGTAAGGTTTATTAGCTTTATGAAACTCTTAATGTTGTTTTTTCGTGAGCTTTGTTAATTGCTGTGCTTAGGTCGTTTTCTGTTGCTTCCTCTTCTAAGTTAAATGGAGCCGAAATCGCTCATTTTGTAATACCAACTGTTAAGCATCTTGAGCTGCTAATTTTTAAGATGCTTGTGTTGTTTTCTACTGCATCAAATAGAACTTGTTCCTATAGTGTATTAGAGCTTCTGATATTTAAAATGTTTAACTATTTCCTGAATTATGTTGATTTTTTCTTTCAATTGTAGGGATTGAATTCGAAACAGGTAAGTTGCAGAAAATACTCTTGTTGTAAACTTGCTTATTATGTTATGTTTGTTCAAAAGGGTCAAATATTTTTAAACTAAATAAATATATATAAATATGTAATGCTTTTGCGTTGAAAAAGATGGACTGGCCCTATCAAAATGTCAAGTGTCACTCAAGCTCTTCTGAATTTTAGAAAGTGAAATTGCCAATTGGCCTTTTGTTTTAGTTCCTGTTTTGATCTGACTCAGTGCAGGCTCTAACCAAACGAGTTTGCAGCACTGATGAACTTCCGTTAAGGAAATGAATTTTACAAAAAGTGATTAGTGTCTTGCTGCGCTTTGAATTTTTGAAGGGTTTGTTGTAGTACGTGATCCTAATTGAAGGATTAAAATATTAATCCATAAAATGAATTTAGTTAAAGGCATCAAATTTATTATAAAATTTAAGTGATTCTAAGTATGTTGCTAGTCTTAAATAAAAGTCACTTATATTTTCATGTATTAAGAAGTGTATTAAATTGACAAAATTTTTTAATTTTATTCTTGTTAAAGTTATCTATCTCTCGACATTTACAAATTATTTTCATATCTCAGCATTCTTTCTCTCTTTTTAATGGAAATTAAACAAGGACAAGATTAAAAAATAAATATTAAATATACTACCAGTGATTCGTGAAGGGTGGTATTATTTTCATTGATTAAATAACAATTTAATATCATATTAATTTTTACTCTCTTTCGTTACCCTTATTAAAATGGGCATAGGAGAAAAAATAATAAATATTTATTGAAAGGGTTAATACAAACTTTGATATTTTAAGTTTATTGTCATTTTAGTTTTGATTTTTTAAATTTAAAATCATAGGTTTTAGTCTCCGAAATTTATTTTCATTTAAAACATTGATTTATATAATTTAATAAAAATTTAAACTATTTTGTTTTTTGAGAGAGTAAAACTTATGGTTTAAAACCTGATAGATTAAAATTAAAATAAAAGACAAACTTGAAGGAACAAATATTATGTTAATCCTCACTGAAATTATGAAAACCTCGGCTAAAAAATTTCTTCTAGAAAAAGAGTTCTTACAATGCAGACAAGGAGTATGTTTTAGGAAAGTCATGATATAGAGTGGGTTGGAAGATCATGAATTATTTTACTTGGAAATTGCTTAAGGTTAGGAACTGCTTTTTTTATTCTCAAAACCGTTATTTCTTTTAAAACACTTAGAATGCCATTTCAATGTTTGATTTTGATTCAACTAAGGATTATTTGGCCCTCCAAAAATAAAGTTAGAAGAACTTTTTTAATATTAAGTGCTAAATTACATGTTAAAATTAAGCGCTTAAATTATATAACTCCATGTGAAACATCTGATTTGTTTTTGCATTGAATTTTTAATTATTTGATTAAAATATTTTTGTTCACGTTTTTTCCCCTGAAATCCCCGAGTGCTCAAGCCTCAACATGGGAGAAATTACCTTAGCTAAACAAGCCAAAAAAATCTTGCTTTTGTCAGTAGCCCTATAGCCTAATAGCAATACATTCTTCTGTAACTGAGAAATTACGTGTACAACCTCACTTGTAATTTTAGATTGTTAATTCACAGCTGGTAAGGTCAGGCAAACAATTAAAAGTATTTGTCATATTTTTTAGGCTATGAGTTGCACTTTGGTAATTAAATCAACCTTCATTATATATATTTTTTGGATAATTTCCTTGTAATCAATATTTTTTTTGCTAGGTACATGTATCCTCTTATTAAAGCCAATTCTATTTAAAACACTGTCGGAGCACTAAATATGAATATTTGTTTTGCTAAAACATAAGTATCCTTCTATTAGAGATAATCTTATTCGAGGCACTGTAGGGCACTAAATGTGGACATCTCTCCTAGTGGGGATTTGAACCTTGGTTCTTTACGTTGTGAGGGACTAGCCCTTTTCACTAGACCTAATCCCTGTTGGTAAATATGAATATTTTTTTAAGCGAGAATTTGAATTTTGATTCATTACATTGTAAAGCACGGGCTCTGTAACTTACACCCGACCCTTTGTAATCAGTAATCTTTTATTTGTTTACAAGTTGGTCCAAGTTGGGCGGCTCGTAGCGGATCAACGTAATGTTCGGGCCCATTAAAAAAGAAAATCCCTATTTCTGCCGCACTTAAGATAATAATAAATAATAATTGTACTCTTTTGTTTGTTGCCCTCACTCTGCTAAGCTAAGCAACGACGCCGGAGGAGGTCGTATCGTGTTCGTCTCCATTCACTGTAAGGACCCATCACCCCCTCCCTTCTTCTCCCTCACAATTCACTTCTCTTTTATCTTTTGTTTCGTTTCAAATTTTCGGAGTTAAAACGCATGTCAATTTACTTCGTCCGAGTCCTTGCCATGGCCATGCAGATTTCTTCTTCTCTTTTTCAATCTCTTCCGATGTTTCGATTCGCTTCTTGATCCCAGATACTAGTGGGGGCCAGCTGCTTCCCCTGCTTGCTCTCTTCTGGGTTTGTGTCCCTGAGAAATTGTTGGCAATGCTCAGCCAAGCCCTAGCTTGAAGGTTGTCAAATTGGATTATTTTAGGGTTTTTGTTTGGTTTAATAAATAATTCTGCAATGCAATGTAAATGCCATCGTGTTTTTGTTTCCTTAAAGCTGATTGAGGAAACCTCCTGGAAACGTGATGATTATTGAAGTACGTTGGTGGGGTCTGAGAAAGGCATGGGGTGCGAGGAGGAATTTGTTTTCTGAAGAGTTCTTGATCTTAAAAAAGAAGGAAAGAATGAAAGTTTGAAGGAAGCTGGTTTTGTTGAATCAAATAAGTGAATTAATGAACTTAATACTATCCGTATTGCCGTTGAATGAAAATTGAAAAGTGATCAATTGAAAGTAATTTTTAACTATTTCTTTTCTCATTGATTGATGTGTTTGCTTGTTTGCCGTTCATATGAAAGCCAACTATTTATAAATTTGGGCTTTTAATTAAAGACGTCTTCACAGCAATCAATTTTAATGTCTACTGTTGTCGAAAGAATTATTTTGGAGGGGGGCACTAGAATCCGCTGTATGAGTCCTTTGACGTCTTTGGTAATAATAGTAGATTGATTTTAACATTTGTTTATGTTGGTTTTAAGACGCGAGAACATAGACATATGATCAAGTAATGAAAATTATTTTTGTTCCCTATATTCATGCTTAATGCTACTTTGAAGTTGACTAGACGTTCATTTTTCTCAAGTATTACATTCGAACATTCTTTAGACCCCCCCTTTTAAGGTGGAATTCCTTTTCATCTTACATCAAATTGAGTTGTGTTTATTCATTTATTCGAATATGTTACTCATAAGCTAATGACTTTTTGTAGGGATTTGATTTGTTATGTTGAATTTCGTTATATGTTCTTTGTTCCTTTTAATAGGATGCTTTTTCCTTTGTTATTTTACTCCTCTCCTTCCTGTCAAGTTCTTTCTTTTATGTGTTAAGATAACCTAAATAATTGTAAGGTGCTCCTTCTTATTTTATGATCGTTTTGGGTTTCTTTCATTAGTTATACTGATGGAAGTAGAAGTGGCGGACCTTTATGCGACTAATGCAGGACCAATTGATGGTTCAGTTTTATATGATCAAGATAAGCATGTATCTACGGCAGTTTGGGAAGGACAGGTGCAGTTTTCCCTTCTGGCAGTCCTTTTTTCTTCATCTTTGTTTGTCTTCGAAAAATCTCATCACTGTCTTGATTTCTTATGCTATATTGTTGTCTTGTTAATGAATCAACAGGAGCGTGGTGCTCTCAGATGCCATGAACACACTTCAAAGCTTGATCAATGGACACTTACTCATAAACAGATTGAATTGGTACAGAAGGCTGGTTTTGGGTACTTAAGATCAATTCCAGCCATTAGTCTCGATAACCCTCTTATCTCTGCCCTGGTTGAAAGGTGGAGAAGAGAAACAAATACTTTCCACCTAAATGTTGGAGAAATGACGGTAACCCTCAAAGATGTTGCTCTCTTACTAGGTCTGGCTATAGATGGGGACCCTGTAATAGGTATAACATATACTGCATGCAGTTCAGTCTGTGAAAAGTACCTTGGCAAAGCACCTGAATCTGGTTATACAAGTGGTGGAATGGTGAAGCTGAGTTGGTTGAAAGAGTTCTTTTCTCACTGTCCTGAAAATGCTTCAATGGAAGTAATAGAGCAACATACTCGTGCCTATCTTCTTTATCTTGTAGGTAGTACCATATTTTCCACCACCACTGGGAACAAAGTCCCCGTAATGTACTTGCCGTTATTTGCGAATTTTGAGCAATGTGGAAGATATGCCTGGGGTGCAGCAGCATTAGCATTTTTATATAGAGCTCTGGGAAATGCCTCTCTGAAAACTCAAAGCACTATTAGTGGCTGTTTAACACTACTGCAGGTCAGTTAATTTGCTCATATGATTTTTTAAATATAATTTTTTTAATGCTATCTTTTTAACGTTCTTCAAAATGCTTGTCTAACTAGTCTTTGTACTTCTGCAGTGCTGGAGTTACTTTTACCTGAATATTGGCCGGCCAAAGCTTAACCACGATCCTATGCGTGATCAATTTCCATTTGTGCTAAGATGGAAAGGAAAACAAAGTGGTCCAACAGCAAATCGTGATGTAATTTTCTACCGGAAGGCTTTGGATTCCCTAAAACCAAGTGATGTAAGTCTTATATTTAATTATTTATTTTAAACGAAAATTCTCTCTGTTTTTCTTTTCAATAGGATTAGATGAAAACTCCATGCTGGTCCTCAAAACGTGTTAATAGATTTTCTTTTCTTTTTTTTAAAAATGATTTGATGATATGATTATGTTTCAAATTATAGGAGATTTGATTCTGTAGAGATTTTATAGCATCATTTTAATTTCACAGGAAAGGGGAAATTCAAACTAAGTATATAGGTATTGTTGTGATACAAAAAACCTTTGGAGTATCAAATCGATATCTTACCATTTTTAATGGACACAAAAAGAGGCTTATCTCCATTTCGTGATCTGGTTAGAGTCTCATATATTGTCAAGAGAGAATATTGTTTAGTGTAATTGATGCACAGGTGGAGTGGCTGCCATACAGAAGCATGGACAGTACGGTAATTCCAGAAGACATCAAAAGCACTTTAATTCTTGGGAGGTCAAAGACAATGTTGATATGTTTTGACAAGGCAGAGAGGCATCTTCCGAATCGATGCCTAAGGCAATATGGCATGCTTCAATCAGTTCCAGAGCATGTGGAGCACTGGGAGAGGAAGAGTCGAGGAGTTGATGGTGGTGTCAATTTGTCAGGGAAAATGGAATCGGAGCTTAGTGAATGGATGGACCGGCATCTCCATATTGTCGAGGGTTATGATGAGGTAGATGAAAATGAGTACATACAATGGTATCTAAAAATTACTCGCAGATTTGTGGGAAGGCCTATTTCTCTCTCATCCGAGTTTCAAAGAACAGTGAGTATATATGTTTCACGAATTAGCATTTACATCTTATAGATATTATAGGTTAAGTTTGAAATGCTTTTTAAAGAATAAACCCAAATGTTTTCAGAATGCTGGTTTGAGGGATATCGCACATATAGCGGACACTTTTGCGACTGATGGGCTGGATGCAGATCAAATTGAATCAATTTCTAGAATAAGATTAATTGCACATGAATGTTTGAGAGACCAGTTTGGTAGTCCAGCCATAGTGCCAGCCACCCCACAAGTTGAGCTTGGAAAGAGGGTGAGAGGAAAGGAGAGGGTTAGAAGAAAAGGTTCTGGTAAACGATTGCGGAGAGATGAAGATGATGATGCAGTTCAGTATAATGCAGCTAGTGAGGATGAGCAACCTCAGTTCTACGGTGCTGCTATGAAGATTGAAGAATTACAACTAAGTCAAGTCGACAGAGAACCGGATCAATCACAAATCTATGCGTTAGATAATGAGGTCAATTCTGTCCTGTTAATTCATGCAGATGGTGACAATGGTGGTGAGAATCTGCATCTTTGTGATGCAAACTTCGAGATGGATCAATCAGCGTTAGCCTCTGCAGCTGGTGAAGAAAATAATGAGGAGCCAAGGCTTATATCTGCTGAGGTCAACAATGAAGAACTAAAGCATGCAGCTGGTGAGGTTAACAAAGAACTAAAACATTTAGCTTCTGAGAATAACAGTGAAGAAGCTGGCCATCTGGCTTCTGAGGTTAACAATGAAGAACTGAAGCATTCAGCTGATGCAGTTATAAAGGAAGAACTGAACCAAGTGAATGGCGATGAAAATGCTGAGCAAATGGATGCAACTAACAACGAGGTTCATGATGTACAACCTTCTGATATCTCTAAGGAAGTTGATGATTCACAGCTCTCTGGTGCAAGTCATGAGATCAAGAACACCAGTCCTTCTGATGCTTCATTAGAGGCCAATAACTCAGATCATGTGACTTGAGCAAGGTCAGCTCCACTCATCACTAAATTAGATCCTCTACAGTTGTATGTGTTCGGAGAGAATGACCAAAAAGAATGTGACTGGGATTTGGGAGACAGATATCATATTTATATTCATAATTTTTTTCCATCTCTCTTTGAATGTGTTTATTATATGCAATTATGCTTTGGTTTTTATAAATGAAGAGGATTGGTATTGAGCTCACCACAATGCAATTCAACTGATCTCTTCATACAGAGCAAGGTGATTGTGGTGGCTGCTGTATAGGGGCAAGGCCTTAAATTGTATAATTTTTAGCTTTATAATATAAACTATACTTTAATTTTCAAAATTTTTGTCACTGGATATCAAGTGTTAATTTAATAACTAATATTTCTATTTTCTTTTTTGGTAAAAAAAGTTTTGTTTGCATTGGATTTTTTGAAAAAATTTACTGAGTTAACCAAAAAAACTATCTCAGTAAAAAAGTCTAATATTAAACTCAAATGTAATTTAATTTTGAAATGATTCAAATTATTGTGACTGAAAAGATGCAGATTATTACTGCATGCCATATTTGAATATTTGGCAAGATTGAGCGACCCAAGTTGTCAGCTTGTCATGAAATAAGTCTCATCATGGTTTAAAATTATCTTGAAAAAGTGAATTTATCTCTACTTTATTAACAAATAATTATTCATTGATAAGACCCTGACTGCCTGTCCAGATGAATCTAAACAATCTGCAACTCACGGGCCAATTCCCAAGGATGAATCATCATCAACCATAGATATGAAACTGTGGAGCTAAACTTATTCTTTCCAGCATAATTTTTAAAATAAAAGTAAGTGTAATTGGAATTTATTATAAAAAGTATTATAATTCACTCAATATATAATATCAATGAAGAATGACTAAATTTTTTTTGGATATTATATCAATTTATAAAAAATTTTATTTATTACTTCCCTGGAAAACTATTCCGAAATTTCAGCACATATCGTACCGATATTATAATTTTTCTCAATAAAAATGTTCAATACATTAATGAGCCACACAACTCAAGTATTTACTTATAAAACGATTAAATTCATTTTGTTTAAGCGTATGGTAGATAAATTCTTTGGCCAAAGCCTCTACGCATATAGTGTCTTTTTTTCCAAAAATAAATAGACTGCTCCTCAACGTAAGAGCTTATTTTATTCAATTTTTAATATAGGAACTCATTTGACTTTTGTTTTGATACGAAATATAAGACATTTGTCTCTCATATCTGTCTATTTTTTTAAGGTAGTTTTTGTAATAATGGTATTCTGATCAATACACTTAATTAGCAATGATATTTGAAAAAAAATACCTATTTATTACAAATAACTAATTTAACTAATTTTTTTAATTTATTCAAATTAGGTAAGTAATTTTCATATTAAAAAGCTGAAGTAGTATATTTATATTTATATTTTCTTTAGATCCTTTCCGCCAAATGCTCATAATCCTATTTGTTTCTTTTGGTGGGTCCCTTAAATCAACATCATTAATCATTATCCGCATAGATATTTTAAGCTGAATTTTATTCGCTGCGTATAATTTATATTTATAACTAACTGAATTACATGTTTGAGAAAACTGTTAAAAATAATTAAAAGTGATAAATATGTATGATCAATTGAAAGTATATACTCTTTTCACAGTGCACATTGTCTGCACTGCATATTCAATCGGTATAAAGTTCCCTCACCTGTCGTCTACACTCTTACTGTGTTGAAGGATAGAACCTGTGAGCTCAATTTTCGATGTTATCTTTTGGAATATAAGGTTTTATTTTTCGAATCCCAAGGAGAAATGTATTTATTTGTAAATTGCAATTTCAATTTGTCTTGGTCGATCCAAATATACCGACCAGGCTCCACGTAATCCAGCTAGTTTGCTTAAATTTTCTCCCTTCCTCTTGAACGATCCAATTGCGTACCCAACTTCTCTGCGATCTTCTCGTCTTCTTCCCAGTCTTTCTTTTCTGAGTTACGTTGTTTCCATTCAATTCTGTAACGAAACTGAAAAAGCGAATACGGAATGTCCAACGATTCTTCCGAATCCACGGTGGTGCTTGCTCGGGGCCGTTTGGCCCGGCTCACTGCTCACCTACGACCTTCTTACACTGAGCAACTTGATCACGCACGTTCGCTCGACCCTTTCCCTCTCTCTGCTCAAACTTCAATCTTGCCACCCGGCAACCTCAAGGGGTCTTTGACGATCGTCGACGAGAGGACTGGGAAAAAGTACCAGATTGAGGTCTCCGAAGAGGGAACGATCAAGGCTGCTGACTTCAAGAAGGTATTTTCTGATCAATGAGTTATATACGTAAGCTTTGATTTTGAAAGCTTTTTGTGATTGGCTAACTGGGATTTGGTCAATTCTGATCTGTTCGGCTTCTTTGAATCGGTTGGATGCGTATTTTTTCTGTGCGGCCAATTATTGTTAATGTTAGCATTCTGCCTATTAATTTTTAGTCATATGCTATTCAGAATCTATCAATCCAAGTGTGCCATGGGGTAGTTTGGATTTGCAGCACAAGTGCAACTTACCGTCTTATGCGTTATGGATTTTTTATTGTGGGACTCCAATTGTTAACGTGCAGATATCGACCGGAAAGAATGACAAGGGGCTCAAACTATACGACCCGGGATATTTGAACACAGCTCCTGTCCGATCAAAAATTTCCTATATTGATGGCGATGAGGGAATCCTTAGATATAGAGGCTACCCAATCGAGGAGTTGGCGGAGAAAAGCACCTATATGGAAGTTGCATATCTCATAAGTGAGCATCTTCAAGAACTATATTGCCAGTCTATAACTAATCTGCAGCATATATGTTCTGTAAAACCATAAAAATTCTAAAATGATGATTCCCTTGGGCAAGCACAGTGCCCAAACTTCTAAATTATGATAGCAATATACTTCAATTTATTTATAGCATGCGTGTTTCTGTCAACTGTTTGACTCATCCGTTTCTGCCTTTTCAGTGTATGGAAATTTGCCTACTCAAAGTCAGTTAGCCGATTGGGAGTTTGCTATATCTCAGCATTCAGCTGTTCCGCAAGGAGTTCTGGTGAGGTTCTCTGCTATGTGATGATATTGTGGATTGTTTATTCTAATCAAGTTCAGTAATACTTTTATTGTTTTATTTGATCATTTCATGCTATAAATTTTTATTCCTTTTACTTCTTTCATCCTTTCTTTCATCTGTTTGTTTTGTTTGTTAATGGGTGACTTAACTTGCATGTATCCCATGGAGATAAAATTTTGTATTTTTAGCATGTAGTAAAATGATAAAGAGCAGAGCAATGTTAAAGAAGCCTCAATTTGAATGGTTGATCATTACTGCTAAGTATTGAAGTGGCAAGTCCTTATTATTCCCCCTGGGGCGCTTTTTTGGACAAAATGTCCTAGAAACTCACTTTTATTTTACTGCGGCAGTCTGTATTTTAATTATGGTTTGTGGAAATTATTTCCTTGCAGTGATCATTTTAGGGGGAGTAACTGAGTTTTTTCCCCCCAGAGAAATATGTCTATTAACCTAATGGAGTGTTATCTTTTTACTTTTGTGTTGTAGGATATCATACAATCAATGCCACATGATGCACATCCAATGGGTGTACTTGTTAGTGCCATAAGTGCTCTGTCAGTTTTTCACCCAGATGCAAATCCTGCTCTTAGGGTAAGCAAGACGAGTTACTTTTAAAGTTTTTCAGCTTGTGCACTGTTTTACAATGCTGCACATTTATGATGGTGACATATAGTTTTGTGGATCTTGATTTTTTTTTTTTTAGCAATATATACTTCTCTCATAACTAGTAGAATTTTCCCATTCTACTCTTATTTAATGCATATTAAAATTCGATGCAGGGTCTTGATGTATACCAGTCAAAACAAGTAAGAGACAAACAAATAGCACGAATCCTTGGAAAGGTTTGCATATACAGTTTTTTTCCCCTCGTTCCTCCTTACCCTTCTACCTAGGCACGCGTAATTTATTTAGCTGATATTGGTGTGTCTAGAACTGGGTTTACAGCTTGCATTCTGCGGAGTTTTGAGCAGCTACCTTACAAGTTTATGCATTTTCGCAATATACCTAATATATCTATTAATGTTTTCTTTTGATTGCAGATAACAACAATTGCTGCAGCAGCTTATCTTAGATTGGCAGGAAGGCCACCAGTGCTTCCATCCAGCCACCTTTCCTACACGGAGAACTTCCTATACATGCTGGATTCTTTGTATGTCTTATGTGTTTTTAAAGGTCTTATTGTTAATATGGAATGATATAAAGCTTCAATTTCTATTGATTTAATTTTTTTGTCCGAGTGAGGTAAATCATCATCAGTACTCACTAGTTTTTTTTTTTGGTCTCTTGCTCTTGCTTGCATGGAATAATTTCTTTTCTGGCACAAAGTATATAGTATTCTTAAGATGATATAATAATACACATACACATGCACGGTAATTACATCATCTTGGAGCTTTAAACTCAAATAACATTTTCTTTTGCATGTTTTCAGAGGCAATCGCTCATATAAACCGAATCCTAGGCTAACTCGCGCACTAGATATTATCTTCATCTTGCATGCGGAACACGAAATGAACTGCTCTACGTCCGCTGTCCGGCACCTTTCGTCAAGGTTGAGGCTCAAAATTGTTAAACAACATAAATCATTCTACGTTCAGTGTATCCTAACCACCTTATCCTTTGCAGTGGTGTTGATGTATTCACCGCTATTGCTGGTGCTGTTGGAGCACTATATGGGCCTCTTCATGGTGGAGCCAATGAGGTACCTCTAAATGCGTCATGCAAACTATCACTAACTTTTCACTATAGCTTGTTTCTGACCATTTCCCTGCGTAAACACAATACTTTTGGCAAGCATAATAATGTGACCTTTGATGGTTCTATAGGCTGTCCTGAAGATGCTGAGTGAAATTGGAACGGTTGAGAACATTCCAGAATTCATTGAGGGTGTCAAAG